CGCCCCAAGATGCCCCAATATACCCAGAATTAAAACTCATTATATGCATCATACCCAACCTCCCCCCTCGCCCCAAAAAGCAATGCCCCAGTAAACCCATTACAGGAACATGCAGCTTTTTTGATGGGACCTGTTTAGAACTAGGGGATTAGATATTCGGTACTCAATACTGCGGTAGGACGAAAGTTCGTCGCACTCTGTATGTCGCTCCTGCACAGGGTGCAAACCCCTTTTCTCCTTAGACTCCTGCACCAAGTCCTCCCGTCCAGAACATTATAGTAGTATAATTTTATTCCAGGGGATTAATTCCTCCGCTAGCCAGGCCACGTAAAAAGCACTTCTAAGTACTCCGTGTCCTCCGCAAGATGGTATAGCCAAGTGCGACGAAACTTCAGTCCTGGTGATGTATTAGGTATTAGACACATGTTTCCTAAACCCTAAACCGCCTAAACCCTCAACCCGAGTTGCGAGAGCTGAACAGCCATACTTCGACAGACACTGTTGGGAAAGTGCATGTCGGGATTTTTTCAGCATTGAAGATGTTTTTCGCAAACAGGATGTTGATAGCTGACCGATAGTGCCGCCGAGTTAGATGCAAGAGGAAGAAGGCTGGCAAACGGTTGATCATTGAATTGCCATGCATAAATTGACAACACACTGCCCGAGAGTTTGTACAAACACCTCGGAAAAAAAACGATCCTGGGTGTGAAGACTTGCCTCATTGGACGGCGTTGCATGGCAGGTATTCTACAATGTGTTGGATGGTTTTTGCCATGGCTTGAAAGTAGCAGGGAATGTGTCTACAGAAGCTTGAGAGGCGAAGCTTTCCTTTGATGGAGGTGCCTGTGTGTGAGTTTCTTGTGCAGCTACGAAGAATTTCCGATACACAGTTCTGAAGATCCTGCCCGCGGAAATTGAAAGAGCATATCATAAGTTTCTAGTCGAGCCTTTACACGTGTACAATATTCGTGATGGATTCTTGGACTCAGAAGCTGCAGCCTGGTCGTGAAGGCATTCAAACTCCATCGACAGGACTCCATAGATTGGAAGCAGCTCCAATCTTCCAAGTTCAAAGAGCAGTGAACATCGTTTCCTACATCGAGCAAATTGCCTTGTAAATGCGCGTTGCGTCGTTCATACTGCAATGGTTCATCGCGGGTGCCGTGTGGGACTGTCTGCATGCAAGCGCAAGCTGTCATGAGTGAAGCAGTGGCTTCTTTGGATGCTGGGGTGCTGGGGTGCTGTGGCAGTTCTGTGCAGGATTTTCACGGCGAGCTTCCCCACTGGCAATCGCAGCGCCCTTGAATCAAGAGTCCTGCACGTCAGCTTGTGTTGAACTAGAATCAGCAAACACCGACAAAAGCAAGCTTGCATTTCAAAGCATCGCATTCTTGCAGTCGCTGCTTGCAGCTCTGAGTGCCAGTCATGTATGCTTGACGCAGGAATGCAGCAACTCCTACATAAATGACAGGATTTGGACTGTTCGAAGTGGTCAGATTTCAGACTGCAGATGTGCAAAACCCAGTCATGGATCTAGTCGAGTGCAGCACTGTTCAAGTCTCAGAAGGAGCTTGCTCTTTCGACTGATACGGCGATGTAGTTTGGGTAACAGCGTAACGCAGAATTCGCAGAGTTGCTCTTCCGCAGAGCTGATGCCAAGCGGCCCAGGTCATTTCCTGATTTGGATTGTGGCCGGCTTGGCGATCATGCATCAGGGGGCAGTCGTCGCATGTGGAGAGATAAGACGTGTATGAACTGCAGCGACTGCAGCGGTGCATTTTCAAGAGCAGGCGTGTTGATGGGGTTGTCTGCTTTCTTGGAAGTTTAGCAATCGAGGTACGAGCTTTCCATTCCGATGTCATTAAGGCTGGGATGACTTCGTGACCCATCGCCGTCACTTCGATTGGAACGACCTTCGATTGCAGGCAGCTCCTGGCTGCACTGTCTGGTCACTACCTTCCCTGATCCAACCTGCAAAAAGCTAAGCGGCTCTGCATTAAAATATGGCCAGAAGGAGCAGCCTAAACCCTAAACCCTGAACCCTAAACCTCGAAGGCAGAGTCTAGCGACCTCGGGTCTTGGCAGAGCCTGGTGCGACAGCGCCTACCCGAGATTGACTTTGTTGCGGCCAGGTTCCCAGACCCGACATTAGCACAGAATCCACGTGTTTGTTTTCGTGCAGATGCTGCAGTAAACTTGGATCCGGGGTCAACGGTCACAAGAAGTGAACTCAGCTTGTGGAAAAGGCTTAGCTGTGGCAGACGACAGTCAAATCACCCCAGAAGCTCAAGCAAACTCGGTTCCGCAGCGTTTTGAGCCAGGCACGCGAGGTGCTTTTCGACCACAGCCTTCCCAGGTGCTCTGCAGGGCCTCGGGTTCCTAGTGCCAAGACTTGGGCGCTGCTTGTGGAGAAGCAGTTTACGAGTTCACAACGCCAGCCGCATGATCCAGACGCAGCCGTAGAATCTGGTCCAGCTACGGCAGGCAAGGTATGTCCATTCAGCGATCTTAGCTCAGTCGTAACGGTGGCTTTTGCAGACGAACATTCCCTGAACCGTTCGGTGCCCGTGCTTAGAACCCATACTTTCTGAAGTTACAGGCTTCCATGATGCCTCACAAAGAACCCTGAACCTACCGGGCTAACCCCCCCCCTCGAGATGCTTTCTGGGCCACCTCTTTGCTGCGGCAGTGCGCTTGGCCCTCAGCTGAACTGCCCACAGTTTTTCACACAGAAAGAGCGGGCTTGGTCAGTCTCGGGAGTCAGGGACGGGTGACTAGAAGTTCTGCCTTTCAGTTTCGAGAAAGAGCGTCAGCGCACGTCGAGGCATCGGCGACTGTGCGAGCGAGGCCCGTGCCTAGTCCCTGCGCTTCGACCAGATTCAAAGTGCTAGTAACGTCCACGGCGGCTGTTGTTCTACAAGTTTCACCTAGAGCTAGACTTACAAATCGAGGATGGGGAGAGCAAGTGCACGTTGTCACCACTTATGCAGTCTTGTCGCCCGGCCCGAACCTGCGAATGTATGTCGGAAGAAACCTCAGAGGGCCTTAGCTTCTGCATGAAGGAGAGCTCGCAGTGTCCGACGTCGGAACTGGAGCTGCTCTCTGATGCCCAGCCCCCAGCGGACACCTTGCCCAGTCCATCTTCCTTGCCTCCACTTAACACAGTCGAACTCAGAGCAACGACAGAAGGATCTTTTGCTGCACGCAGCGGGGTCTGTGTGTGCAGTATCCCTGCCCTGCGTCTCGATATTTCCTCTGAAACGAAAGTCTGCGAACCTCGATAAGTATAATGCAACATGCTATACAAAAAGCTCGTCTGGTATTGGTCATGGGGGAAGTAGTGTTAGATTTAGGCGAGATGTCCGTGGAAGTCTAGGAATAATCTTCCAATGTGGATGAGGTAATTGGCTATTCCCAAACTGCTATTGGTAGTCGGGAAGTAGCTGTGATATGCTGGGTGAGATGCAGGGGGTAGTTCAGGAATTCTCATCGAATGGGGTGACTGGTATGATTCCCAAACGGGCAAGGGTTCTGCTAACGAAAATAGACATGAACAGACGGGCGGGGAGTTCTGTACAACAGGCAAGACTTGCAAACATCAGCATGAATTCTCAGCTGAACCCAGCTTTCATATTCTATCTTTCCCTAGCAAATTCTGCAATGTAGTTCAGTCATTTTCAGTCGAACCGGATCTCCAGTCCAACCACTTCCAACCCAGGCCATGCTAAACGAATCCAATTCAATCCTTCCTGATATCTGCTTCTACACAGGACCCCAACACCCTCCATCTTGAATCCTGAGCCACAAAGCTAGATTTCAAAACGCGATGCCAAGACGAAGTGACTGGGCATGCGGATCCAGGGTGACCGCTGAGTGGGACTGCAGTCGCGGTTGTTGGCTCCAGTAGGCTCCCCGCAGCACGCATCGGAAAGAGCGCCGACAAAAAAAGCCCTAAACCCTAAACCCCAAACCCTAAACTCTAAACGGTCCCTAAACGGTCCCTAAAGCCTCTGAGGTCATTCAGGGCACTTTCCATTCGGTGTTCTTCTCAGTGGAGTTGCTCCTGGGGACTCGATGGCCCGTCCTAGCAGCCTTGGATGCCCTGAGGCCTCTGGGCTTCAGGGCTTCAGATGCTTTGAAGACTCAGCATGTCGGGCGATGGAGGTCTGTAGGGGGAATTTTAGGGCTTCGGGCTTGAGGAGTTGCGGGTTTTAGGCATGCAAGCATTGCCAGGCATGTAGGTGTGGAGTGCTTCAGCGAAGAACTTAGGTTGCAACAGAACCTTTAACCATGCTTACGTTTCACTTCATTATGTTAAATTAAATCACTTCACATAACCCTTACGATGTGAGAAAATGAAATGAAATAAAGAGAAGTATGAACCGAATGGTAGTGTTATAGGAGCTGAACGAAGTGAGGAAAAGAGCTAAATTTAATAATAACGAAGCATGCGTTCACTTTGTTTCCTTATCTTCGTTTCATCAAATTTAGTTCATTTCCCTTACAACCTTAGGCCTGTTGAATATAGGTGGAATATAGGGTTTAGAAGGAAAGGTAAAAATGAGTGGAACGAATGTGGGCTAGTTAAATAAAAGGAACGTAGATCCCAAAGTTCAATCGGTAATGCCAGATGGGCACCATACCATCCACACCCTAAACTTCTCATGGCTTGAAGCCTCAATCGTGATGCCAAATGCAACAAGTAGGTACACGACCATGCTGCTCCAGCATGTGTGTGTAGTCCGGCTCAGTTTCTGCTCTGCCTGAGATGGGCAAACAGATCGATCTAGTATATTAATATTTTTATTGCTACTATTATTATTACTATTATTCTAATATTAATATTATTATTATCATTATCATTGATCATTATTATTATTATCATTATCATTATCATTACTATTGTTACTCTGTGCCGTCGGAGCGGGGTCTCTCTGAAAGTAGTGGCCTTGCAGGCGGCCTTGCGGCCCTTGGGCCCCTGGGCCTTTTCCGTGCGCCAGGATCGCCGAGTACCACGAGGATCCGGATCTGAGCTGCGAGGGCTCCCAGGCCCGCTTTTCTGGAGCGAGAGGAGCGCCTTTTTTCCAAGGGAGATCTTTGAGGTTTTGGTTTTCTCCTCCGCGGCCCTTTTCTTGCGCAGCGGCCGTGAGAGTTCTTGAGAGCTAAAGGGGAGGCAAGTGATGGCTTTCATGTTTTGACAGGCGACAGTGATGGACTGGTCGCCTCCTCGGCACTGGAAGCCGGTCCTATGTAGAGCATGCTGTTGATCACCTGGGACGTCACATGAGTAGTCCCTTCAGCAGAGTGTTGGGCGAGGCCACGTTTGCGGCAGGCCTTTCGACCCGAAGCTGACTGGCACGCCCGATCGGGGGAGTTTTCTGAGGCTGTAGGCCAGGAGGTCGGACTGTGCAACACGGGAGATTTCTAGTTTCTGCTCGGTTGGTCGTTGACGTTTCATGTGTCTGCCGCTGGCAGGTACCACGAGGCCAAGTATTTGGTTTACAGCCGCAGCTTCCAGGCAAATTGGCTGGCCAGCATGGAGGACCTTGAATGACCCATGGTCCCGTTCTCCCGACTGTGCGACTAGAGCCATCAATCTCAGCAGCAAATTGTACGACAGCTAGCATAAACCTCAAAAACCCGTAACCTGAACTTTTACTTACATGCCATAAATCTTGAGCCCTCAGGGCCAAATAGTGGCAGGAATGCGCCTACGGCTTTGCCATGGTCTCCCTGTACAAGCTTGTCATCTGTGCAGAGACGCCGATCTCTTGACTTTTAGGTTTCGTTTGGTTTGGACTAATGCTTTTAGGCTTTTAGGGTTACAGGAGGTTTTTCGGGGTTGAGGTTTGAAGGTTTCAGGTTGATGGCTTGAGGTTGTCTGTCATAGTGTCATCGTGGCGGAGTCAGCATGAGATTCTTGCACTGCTTGCTCCATCATTTTCGAATAGTTTTTGTTTGCCTGCATTCGGCGGAGCGAAACCTCTGCGGCCCCCGGATGTCGGTTTTTGGTTGGTTCTCGAGGGTGCTCTTCGCCGACGACTCGAGTGTCTTTAGAGGGCCCAGCTTCCTCGGCCTGAAGCTCGAAGTGTAAAAAATCAGCCCGGGTCCGAGGCAGGCGGAGTGCGTCAACCAGTATGCGGTGCTCATCGACAACCTGTTCCGAGCCTGTTTCTGAGTTCAATCTCAAGTCTTTCTCGCAGCGGTCCTTCTAGATGTAATTGCTTCGACTTCCCCAATGTTGTGGCACCGTTTCTTCTCAGCATTTCGCCTTCGGGTTGCTGCGCAAGCCTAGATGAAGTTCGGGGCGTAGATTTTATGGCTGCCGTCTTGGGGCTTAAATTATTGTGCTTTTTTGTCAGCTATGCTTCGTACCTAATCACGCAAACGAAGTAAGCTTCTGAGTGCCGGGGCGTTCAGGTCTCTTGTTATCTTGTGTTTCATGAAGAACCGTTTAACAAGGGCGAGCAACAATGTCAACAACAGTTGACCATGACCTTTACTGCGCAGAGGACAATGACAACAAAACCCACGAAAGTTCAAATTGTAAAAACCAGAGCAACTGTAGTGCAAGGGGAGATCAAGAAGAACAGCCGGAAAAAAATAATTACTTTACAGATCTGGTAGAGAGCGGTTCCGGCATGACCAGTTTGTCAATGCGATGCTGTCGGTAGGGTTTAGCGTTTAGGGTTTGGGGATTGGGATTTAGGGCTTAAAACTAGGGTTTGGGCTTTAACGACGATAACTCTTATGATAGAGGAAGAGTGCCGGGCCCTAGGTTGTTTTTTTCCTAACATTGGCTCTTATCTGGGGCCCGTGGTAGGGCTGGCCTAGGCCGCTGGTCCCCTGGTCCCCTGGTCCCTCCCCACAATAGCTTCATACAAAACATCAGCAACCCTAAACCCTAAACCCTAAACCCTAAACCGTAGTGTTTGCAAGTTGGAGGCCCCTGGTCCACCTGGCTCCCTCGGTTCACTGGTCCTCTGCTCCTGGTCCGCTGGTCTTTGGTCCCTGGGCCAGAGGGGTCCCATGGATTTCTGGTCTCTGTTATCCTGATCTTGCGTCTCCCCAACCCCCCTCCGGTCTCTGTTTTAGCCTTGCCGCGGGTCGCCCGCGTCGCGGGCGACAGGATGCGGCCCGTAAAAAGTTGGGGGCGGGTTTAGCAAATGATATATGATGAATAGGAATCGCCAAATGAAGGGGCGTTGAGGGGCGTGTTTAAGATGTGTGATGAACCTCGGTCGCCAAATGAGGGAGCATGTCTAGGATATATGATGAACCTGAATCGCCCAATAGGGGAGTGGGGGGTGCGTTTAGGATATATGATGAACCGGCATCGCATTAGGAGGGGGTGTGTTTTGGATACATGATGAACCGGAATCGCTACATGAAGGGGCGTGTTTAAGATTTATGTAGGGAATCGCCAAATGATAAATGAGGGGCATGTTTAAGATGTATGATGAACTGGAATCGACAAATGATACGGCCTGTTTAAGATATATGCTCAACAACAACAGCAACAACAATACAATCTGTGTGGCTGGAGTGTCTGTCAAGTACACGTGTGTGTGCAAGGAATGCAAGGTCATGTCTGCCCTCGTGTCTAAGTTTTCGCACGAGCCATGCTGGGTTCACACATGAGAAGACGTCCCCAGGCATGCATCAAGACACCATCGACAATGCTGACACATAACCAGCTCCCTGTCAGTGCTTTGCGCTGCTTTGTCAGCCCCCTGCCCAGAGTGTTCAAGCCGGTGCAACTTCGCTTCAAAATGTCAACCTGCCAGCAGAAACAGCACGCATATGGACCCTTCAGAACCCCCTGATAGGGACATTGTGGTTGCAAATGGAGGGGCATGCGCCCCTCCCCAACCCCCCCGCTCTCTTGCGGCCGCGGGTCTGTGAAAAGTTGGGGGCCCGTTTGGCAGTTAAGCGACAGTGCAGAATCGGAATGAACAAACGAGGGGGCGTGTTCAAGATGCTCGTGCGTGGTGAGGGGGCGTGTTTAAGATATATGATGGACCGGTCTCGCCCGTGGCGTGGGGGCAGGGGCGGCGTGTTTAAGATTCATATATGACAACCGGAATCGGCACATGAGGAGCGTGTTTAATATATAGTTTTTATGATGAATGGGAAGCTCCATGGGAGGGAGCGTGTTGAAGATATATGATGAACCGGAATCGCCACACGATAGGGCGTGGTTAAGATGTATAATGAACCTATGATGAACCGGAATCGCATGGCGTGTTCAAGATGCATGATGAAGCGGAATCGCTACATGAAGGGGCGTGTTTAAGATCTATGTTGAACCGCAATCGACAACTGATTTCGCGTGTTTAAAAATTATGACGAAATCGCCCCGCAGGACCTTGCGAATTCTGCTTGATGCAAAGCAAGACCCAGCAAACTGGGATTCCCCACCAGCTTGACAAACGACAGGAGCCTCCCCAATAGCTTGGCGCAAAACAATACCCTGCAAGTTGGAACTTCCCAATAGCTTGCCACAACGCAAAACCCTGCATATTGGAATTCCCGAATAGTTTGACGCAAAGTAAGATGTTTGGGGCAAAACAATACCCTGCAAGTGGGAACTCCGCAATAGCTTGAAACAATGCAAAACCCTGCGACTTATGATTCGCCTCAAGCAAAGCAAGACCCTGCAAATTATGATTCTCCAAATAGCTTGCAATAGCTTGCGGCAAAGCGTCACCTTGCTAATTGCAATTCCCCAATGGCTTGACGCAAAACAATAGCAACTGCTGCAATTTACAGCATTTGCAACCAGAAAGAAGAGCCAACGTTAGGAAATGAGATCGGGGACCGCCAGCGTTAGGGAAAAAATCCAGTCCGCCGAAGAGTGCCGGACCCAGGAGCGGGACTGGCGCGAGGTTGCTGGGAACGCCTGGCACCTGCGCTGTGCTTAGGAAGGACACGCGGATTTCAGATTGGGAGTGTTAGGTCCGACATGCTGTCCGATTGATTCCCTCAAGTTGCAAAAGGTTCGGCTTCTTGGATCGCGTGCGACCAGCCTTGAAGCGCCACGAGTTCCGCCTGGATTTCACCCCGGCAGAGCTGCAAGGCAGCCCCGTTGATTTCGACATGTCGATGTGCTGTATTCCCGGGACTTTGTGGTTTGAGGTTTGGGCAGGCTTCAGAGTCGACCGCCAGGAGTCCCCTTGTTCGCAGCGCGGCTTGTCATGGTCGGCCGCTTGTGCCAGGCCAGCTTCCGTCTCTTGAACTCCTCTTGGACGGCGAGTCGCCCCCGGAGGAGTTCCAGGGTCCGGCACCTGGTGAACCGCTTCTGTCATCGGTTCCCCAGTTCACCTGGCCAGCAGACTCCAACATCTGGCAGGCGTGAAGTTGTCACCTTCATTTGCTGGCGCGGTCTCGTCCGTCCTGGCAAGCCCCGATGGCTTTGCGTTTCTGCCAGTGCGGGATGGTACCAAGTACTAAGCAGCTAAGCAGGGTGTGTTACATATCTTGTCCCGGCAATTCCAAGAATAGATTGGCCAGCTGCTAAAACTCTAGTATACAGGGTCTGTATCGGGTGTTCTTTTTCCACCCATTCCAGTGGTCAACGTTTCTCGCATCATTCACCGGGGCGGATATCTGGTCGAATCAGCGGCTTGAGGAGACTGAGAAGTTAGTGGTGATACCGTAAACGGTCATTGAGTGAGTAGGAGTCACATAGAGCAGACAACCCCACGGGGTGAAAACTTAGCTGCGAACTGCATCAGTCGTGTGTTTCGTTGTCAACTGTCAACATCAAGTATCTTTATGACCGGTGCAACCTCCTGCTACTGCTGCCGCTGGAAGAGCTTTAGTTTGAGACCCAGCTTTGCTGATCAGCTTTTGGGGGTGTGGGTGGGGAGGGGGGGGGGGACGATCCAGAAAGTTCCCCAAAACGCTCCGTTTTGGAGCCAACCTCCAGGTCATGACGGGTTGTGGGGTGTGGGCCACACGGGCTCCTTTTCGGGGCTGCGCGCGGGACTCTAGGAGAGACGTCTTTTTGGAGAAACGGGACCCCGATGATGCTCATGATGCCTGCTGCAGGGGCGGGGGGTGGGGGTCATGCGCCCTACTGCTGTTCAGAGGTAGCACCTCAGGAGTCTAACGAAAGCCCGCAAGCCGGTCGTTCACGGGACCCCGATGATGCTTATGATGCCTGGTGCCGCGGCGGGGGGGGGGGTGGGACGTGCAGCGGCAAGTGAAACAGAAGTCTCGCCCATCTCCGTCCTCTGCCGCCCCGCGCAGCTTGCCCCCGGTTTGTGAGCTTTCGTCACCCCGGGTGCAAGTAGTGGTATGACTACGGCGACGACGAGGACGAGGACGAGGAGCAACTCACGAGCAGGAGGAGCACGACGACTAGACGACGACTACTACTACCACTACGACTACGCTACTTCAGGAAGGAAGGAGAGAGGGAGGGAAGAGGCAAGAAAGGAACAGCAATGGCAATCTTCCACTGAAAGCCTGGAGGCAGATCTACCGAAGACGTATATGGCCACTTCGAAGGAGCCCACTCGGGATTGGATAGGGTTTATAGGGTTTAGGGGCTTATGGTTTAGGGTTTTAGGATTCAGGATTTAGGGGCTAGGACCCTTTCGTGTTCAGTCCTTTGTGGTGCGCTGCAGGGGAGCCTCCGGCAGTTGGGGTCCCCTTTAGCCAGACGAGAGGGCTGGCAAGCAGGATTCCTGGCTGTGAGAGCCAAGCTACATGAAGGGCCAAACCCTAACTCTAAATGACCGAAGGCACTAAACGCAAGCCCTAAATGTACCTTGCGGCATTCCATTGCCGGTTGGGTGAGTTCAGGTTACGGCTTGCTGAACAAGAGCCCTGGCCCGCAGGGTCTTAAGAACAGGAACATGACTGCAGAGAGGATGGCGTTTGGCTGAGAGTTGGAAGGTAAAGGGAAGAACAGAAGTGCGAGTCGAGCATCGGTCTTCAGACAGTCCCAGTGCCTACACTCCTTCTTCTTCGCATGCATCCTGCTGGACGTCTCTTGTGCAACATTTGTGCCTTCGGCAGGATGCGGTGGGGTTGGAGGCGGACTTGGGACGGGGGATTTGGGGATGGGCACGTTCCCGCATTGTCTCACTGAGAAGCAGCAGGTCAGGTCTGTGCAGGGTAGTCTTGGCCACGTTTTGTGAGGCTCGGCGCTTCCTGTACGTGACGATGGTTTTCGGGCAGCAGTGCGGCCGTTGGTGCGTATGTGGACATGCGCTTCACAATGGTGAGCGCCTTCCTAACAGGTACGTTCCCTATATCCCACGCTTCGTGTCACGAGCTGAAGCACTTGGCTCGAAACTGAGAGCTCGCTGCCCAACCGAGTCTGCACAATCACCAGTTTAAGGTTCAAGAGCGATGGGTGTCAAAATCAGTTTTGAGTCGAAGTTGAAGGGTAACCTTGAATTCGGCACGCACTCGGCCGCCATATTGGGCGAAGTGCTGATTGCTTAGTTTTTGGCAAGGCCTTTCGAACCTCGTCCTGTTCTGCCTGGACGAAGAGGCTCTGCAGCTGTGCCGCTCGCTGCCGCGAGCAGAGAGGTGCCGGCCCCTTCAAAGCTGAGTCAAGGCAAGCGTGATTTGCGTATAGCCATGGCACAAAATCCCATAGTCGTGAGGGTGCTTTCCGTTTGCAGCTTTGTGGTTTGTTTTCAAGCCAGTTGAAGGTGCATTCCTGGTACGCCCTCGATCCTCAACAAGTTTACACTGCCAGGCTCTTTTTGCTGTGGAGGTTGCGTAGCCGGCACAGGGATGGGCATGAAAAAAGCAGCACGCAGCCAAACTCCCGCAACCGGTGCTCGAAGATCCGCGAAACTGAGACTTTGCCCTTTCATATCGAATGGCCAGGTTGAGGCAGCTCTGCCTGGCTCTAGTCTGCTCGGGGCTCCTGGCCCAGAGCAAGGAAGCCTGTGTGGAAGGCAGCGCCCACGGTGCCAGCCTGGCACAGCTTTGGATTCGTCGTGCTGGGGCTTTCTGCGAGGCGGACCTTTCCGAACTGAGGACGGTGACTCTCCTCGTCCACTGCCGCCAGACGCGAGAGGTCTGCGAGCTGCGGCGGCCCCTGATCCTCTCCTACAGGCCCTTCTTCCGGGAAGTCCGCTGGCTGCTTTCCTGGCCCAACTCGACTGGCCAGCTGCGAGCGGAGGAGCATCTTTGCGAGAAGCCAGGGGACCCGTACCTCTGCGTGACGCAGGTCGGAAAACAGCTGGAGAGGGATGGAACCGCTTCCACAGGCATCCTCTACATGCACTTCGATGCCGTCTTGGCACCCTGCTCCTTTGCCCAGCGCTTCGATGCCCGTAAGATTGGCACTTTCGGCTCCAAGGCTCAGCTGCGCTGGGACACCTTCGAAGGCCTGGACCGCTGCAACGGAATCAACGCCGTAGGCTTCGAGTCCCTCCCAAATCTGCACTGTCCCTGGCACCTGTGGGAGTCCAACCGCCTGCGCTTGCGGGATGCCCTGGCCGAGCTCCGACACGCGGGGGTGTTGTCCTTTCCGGCGGAGCTGTCGCAGGGCTGTTGGACTGGCTACGACGACCTGTTTTACTTGCCGTGGCCAGCTCTTCACACCTACGGAGTTCTGGCCGAGATCTTTGCACGGCACAATGTCCATCACGAGATAGCAGGGCCAACAGCCCTGGCCGTCGCGAGCCTGAATGGCCTCGAGATGCAGGACTTCGGTTGCAAAGTCGGGGTTCTGAATCCTCTCACCTTGCGGGTGGTGACTGCGCCCGACTTCGTTTGTGGTCATGAGGTACATTACCAGGAAGAGGGCATGGTGGAGGCTGTGGAAGCAGTCATCAAAGGAAACGCCACTCTCCTGCTCCAAGCCGCGAATGAACAGCGAAATTTCCTGCACATCCTCGACTGGGGTGTTTGGGGGGAACTGCCTGCTATGTGCATCTTACTCGGGGCAGGGTTAGCTTTGTGTCTGTGTCCGGACACTCGTGATCGGGTCCTTTCCTCATACATTGTGTGCGCGATTTATGTGCTGATTTCAGTAGTCATCGACCTGTCTATGGCCGTTCAGTCCATCCAGGCGCCCCATGAGGATTACAAATTCGAGCCCATGTGTGCGGTCCTGCTTACAGAGCTTCTGAAGCTCGTGGTTTCCCTTTGCCTAATCCTTTATGCCCAATGCAGCCATCGCAGCACTCAGATGATGCCAAGCGCAGAAGACGTGGCGTGGCTTGTGCTACCGGCAGCAATTTTCACCTTGAACAACATCTTGGTGTGGTGGTCCATCGGCAGGAATGATATCTCTACTTTCGGAGTCTTCCGGGACACCATGATCCTTTGGACAGCCTTTCTTTGGCGGATGGTCTTCGGGGTTCCCTTGGGGCCGACTCGCCTGCTGGCCATTGCTGTGTTGGTCTTCGGCCTGGCTCTGAACCAGCTCGAGAACTTGCTACAGAGCCGCTTCTCCTGGCCCCTGTTGCTGGTGCTGTTGATGACTGCTTGCAATGCCATGGGATCTGTGGTGAACGAGTTTGCATTGAAGCGCCGGGACGGCATGGACATCAATGTCCAGAATGCTATTCTGTACGCAGCAGCTGTAGCGTTCACCGCTCTTCTGATCCTGGTTTCCGGGAGAGTCAGAGGCCTGGATCTTTACAAGCATGGCATCTTCCAAGGGTTCACAAGACACACCATGTTCACGGTGATCATGCAGGCCTTCGCAGGACTGGCTGTCTCCAGGATACTCAAATACTCGGATGCCGTGCAGAAGAATATTGCCGCATGCCTAAGAGGCCCTATTCTGGTTGTCATCTCGCCTGCTTTTGTCCGCTCCTCTGCGAACATGCTCACCTTCGTCTCTGCCGCGATAGTCGCCTCAGGCTGCGTTATCTACTTGCACCAGGGACCTCTAAGTGCCAGCAATAGCAGCAAGGACAAGAGCCGCAGTGCGTCTCACTGACAGGTCCTTTGTTTGACAGCACTTCAGCGAAAGACAAACAGGCAGGATTTCTGCGGCAGCGCTCGATCTTAACTCCTTCAGTCTTCTGCATTTCTGAAGGCCCTTTGCTTTCTGTCCAAACACTTGTTGCGGTTTCTGTTCAGGCTGCAAGACCTTTCTGGATTTCCAGGCTTGGTGTTGTCGTTGGCTTGCTAAGGCCACTAGTGTTCCTCTGGCTTGGTGTGGACGTCTTCTGGCCGGCGCCTTATTTGAGCGCTGCTACCGAGCCCCGTGTGTGGAAATGGCACTGGCAATGACAATGCTGCGACCGACCTACAGAGATCGCACAATTTTGCTGCGCCTTATGCCAGCACAGTTGCTGTTGGCATTGATGACGACATTACTTTCTTTTGATCTTGCTATATCTTGCTATTGCAGCAGTTTGGAGAGGGGTTTTCGAGAGTGTTTCGCGGGCTGCAAGCATACCTGGCATGACCATAGTACAAGGCCAGCTGCTGATGCTGCTGCTCCTCCTGTTCCGACGGCGACTACTACTACCACTGCCACTGCTGCTACTCCTCACCCTCGTCCTACTCCAATCCTACTCTTACTCCAATCCTACTCCTACTCCCACTCCGACTCCTGCTCCCACTCCTGCTTCAACAACAACAACTACGATTACTACTACTACTGCTGGTACTACTACTACTACTACTACTACTACCACTACTACTACTACTACTACTACTACGACTACTGCTGCTGCTGCTGCTGCTGCTACTAGTTACTAGTACTACTACTACTACTACTACTACGACTACGACTACTACTACTACTACTACTACTACTACTAGTAGGACTGCTACTGCTGCTGCAGCGGCTGCTGCTACTGCTGCAACTTCTACTTCTCTTCCACTTTTGCTGCTGATATCAACAAACGAAATACTATTGCGTAGGAATAACAGGTCTAAACAGACAGACATTCAGATCTAATTTTAAACGCTTCGCGCCGTCCGCATCGGCCCGGCTGTACTTGCAGCACGTGCATTGTTTCGGAAAGCAACAGGTAGGTCACACAGGTGAGGTCTTGCGTGAATGAGTGCATTTGCTTCAGAATGTTTGATTTCTGTCAGTACTTGCCCATCCTGAGGCTCTGAGAAAAGGGAGTGGGGGGGCGGGGGTGGCGAGGCGAATTTCCGATGCTCATGCATGTGACGGTAATTGCAATCATCCTTATCACCTTCCTAGAAACAATCATGACTAACAGCAGCAACAACAACAACGACAACACCAGCACCACCACCGCCACCACCGCGACCACCACCGCCACCACCGCCACCACCGCCGCCACCGCCACCACCACCACCAACAACATCATCAACAACGACAACAATCACAACAGCAACAACAGCAACAACAGCAGCAACAGCAACAACAAGAACAATACCAAGTACAACTACAACGAGACTCATGTTCTGAATAACCAGGTAGATAGACCGACAGAATAGTGAATAGGACAGCTCATCAGAAGATCAATATCATCAATGTAAATTACCAAAAGCAGGCAAAAGAACCGACACACAAGCAGCCTGGCAAGGCTAGACTTCGACGTCTTTTTGCTCAGGGATCCGAGCCGAGCTGTGTTGGGCGATTCGCAGCGGAGGCCAAGCCTTGACACGGAAGCATCTCCTGTCTTTGGCTTGTAAGGATCAGGAAGTAAGAAATTTCGAGGTGGTCGCAGCTTTTTCCAGTTTGTGCGGATTCCTCTTGATCAACAATGCCAGGACAGTCTCTTCAGCTCTTGCTGGTTGAGTCTTGCCGAATCACCCGCTGCCCGACACTTGAAGCCCTATGCCCTACGCCGCCAGCATTTTGCTTTCAGGCCATTAGTTGGGGGCTGTACAGTCCTGGGGGCCAAGATTTCCGCCGACCGCCCATGGAAGCTAAGCTGAGCCTGCTTCTACTCGGCGAGTCCCATCTTGCCCATGTCGTTGACTGAGAGCTGTACACGCAGTAGCAGTAGCGAAGGCGCAATGTTAGCTGTACCATGGTGTTCATTCATAGACACGGTATTTTTCACTTAGTGCCGGTAGCGAGAGTTATCCTGGAAAGAAATATTTGTCTTCTTGTGTGCGAGCAAGGCCCTTTGCTCCCTGAGCCTGAAGAACATCTTTGCCGTCCGATGCTGTCACCGCTCACTCAACCAACTAGCCAGGCTCCTGGCATGTTCAAAAGGGTGAGAGCACTGAGTCTTGTGTGGGTGCGATTTCCACTACTGTTGTTCTTCTTCTTCCTCCGGCATTCGTTGCTGCAGCTGCTGCCGCTGCTGCTGTTGCT